GGGCGGGGTATGCAAATGGAAAAAACATGAAAATGACCCCCGAAACACTGAGAAGGTCTGTGCATATGCCAGCGGAAAATTCAGTCCCATCAAGTCCACTATTGATGCAGAGATGCATGCGGTCATGAAGACCCTAGAATCCTTAAAAATATATTTTCTGGATAAAAGGGAGATCATTATCAGGACAGACTGTCAAGCAATTATCAGCTTCTTCAACAAGTCTGCCCAGAACAAACCTTCCAGGGTACGGTGGATGGCTTTCGTAGACTATATAACAGGGAGCGGCGTAGAGATAAAATTCGAGCACATCGAAGGAGCAAGTAATATCCTCGCCGATTCTTTATCCAGACTAATAAATATTTTAGTTTCAGGATGGCCAAACGAGCAAGTGTTTTTACTACTGGAAGCCACTCAGGAAGTTCAAATAAACCCGAACCCGAAGGCAACGGCATGTCTCAACCGACTATTGAAGACCCTGTCCAACAGTACCAACAGAAACTGGATGAGCTCAGATCAGGGATGCAGAGAGGAACCCCTCTCAGCCAGATCCAGGCCACCGAAGGAGAGCTCAGAGCCATTCAGAAGGAGGCCGCCCGACAAGCCTGTAAAGCACTACGCTGCCTCCACGACATTCACTCAGCAAAAGCAAGAGAGTACCAAAGGAGGAGTTGGGGAAGGGATAATTGGTACAGAGACTGGCTGCCAACTATCCTTCAACAACAACAACAGCTGGAAAGGGCGCTAGCACTCACCGAAGATTCCGCCCAAAGGATAAATAGTTTCTGCCTTTGAGAAAAGGCGAGTACCTCTCTTTGCACTGAGCCTCGGGGAGCCGTGCAAAGATTGGAACCTAGTGTCGGCGCCTTTTTGCGCCCCTGGTTTTAATAAAAACCACCGGCGCCTGCAGTTTTGCGCCCCTGGTTTTAAGTAGAGGCAAAATAGAAAACTAGGGAAAGGATGTCGATGGGGGCCAGTGACCACCCGATCCTCTTTCTGTTTCTCTATATAAGCCTTAGACCAGCTCATTGCAGAACAGGCGGAAGACATCCGAAGTTCTACTTTGAGTCCCAAATACAAGATCAGAGTCTGTAAGTTTCTTTCTAGTTCTTATTACCTATCTCTGAAATTGTGTTTGAAGCACGCTTTCTATTAATATCTGGTATGATCGGGAGCTACTGGAAGTTCCACTTCGGTGAACAACACGACGACAAGAAGGGCTATGGATTCAAGGAGTGAAAGTCATGATACCGCAGAGGTGGGTCTTCCGTGCGTGCATCGAATTTTGCATCGAATGAAAGCCTTGGTCATCAGCATATGGGGGCAGTGTTCCACCAAGGAAAAAAGTTTGAATGCATGTACCAGTGAGTCCCATGGGAGGGACTTGATCATGCAGAGGTATGATCGAAGTAGTTGGAGAGTTGGACTGCTCCAAAGCCCATATTCGCTTAAGGGAGCCCAGCAATTCAGAGGACAAGGTCGAGTAAGCGAACGTTGCTACCAAGGAAGCTAAGGAGAACAGAATCGATGCAAATCCTACAACGTGATGGCAGAGGCCATGCATGAGAGTTGTAATCTATCTTTTCATCGACCAAAGGGAGCTGCTTGGAGAACACAGAGGTGTTGAAGCAGGGGGTCGAAAGGGGCGAGGAAGCGACGACGAGTCCAGAGGGACTTAGCTACCCAAAATCAAGCATCAGTTAGAATGGAGGTGGACTCGGAGGAGTGCCACAGAGACATATCTACTGATCGTGAAGAAAAGAGATGCAGATGCGAGGCGACGGATAGTAGGGCCATGGGCATGGCAACGCCATGGTACCGTAGAGGCGGGACTTTCGTGAAAGTCATTGATCCCTTGCTCTCATGGAGGGAGAGCGCTTGGTCGTGAAAGGGGCCGAGGAGGTGGAGCATGCAGAGGCAAACTCCAAGTACCGAGACAAGGTTGCAGGGCAGAGGCCAAGGAACTTCGTAAGACTGGTGTCAACAAGCTTCTCATCACGATAGCCGAAAGTGAAGGACTTCGGGTCATGCAAGAGTGCACGACCAAGGAACGAAGCAGGCAGTACGCGGTGCTGTACCTTTGCTACTCAGTGGAGTAGGTGACAGGGTTGATGGAGAAAACGGTACAATCCCAGAGGCGACCAAATCTATTAGAGAATTACTCCAAGTTGGGGTGAAAACTTCCTGCATTCCAGAAGTTCGATGATATTGAGAAGGTGAATCACAGTAATTAACTCAACGCAAGGAGTGCAAACACTTTAAGTGCTTCAGAAGTGTGAGCAAAGAGCAGGCAAATGCCAGTAACCAGCTCGATGCATGGAGTACAACCTCGAGGAGGCGGGCGAAGTTAAGTAACCTTTGCCTTCTCAACTCTTAAGAGAATGGACGAAACCGAGTACCTCAATTCTCTTATCTATCCAGCAGAGGAGCTCTGCACAGGTTCAAAGACCCTTCGAAGATAATAGAAGACAATAGTTGTCAAATCCTCACCAACGGTGATCAGTGCTATTGAGAGTAGATTGTCCGCTTCATTTCCCAACGAAATATCAATCGAAAGCAGAAGTGATGCGAACCTATTTGGAAGTGACAACTAAGTGAAAGAAGAGTCAATGGGCAAATTTTGTGAAGGAAGGACCCAAAACTTCAGAAGTTTACGAGACGATGCTCGTTAAAGCTCCAATAACCATCCACCCAGTTCAAGCAGCATGAGGCATTTGAGAGACTAGCGCATAGTAAGGACGGTCTTTTCCTTCATCTGGAGGATCCGCAGGAACCAACAGGGATCAACACAACTCAGCTAACCCGACACTGGAGTCAGAGTCATTGGCGAGTTGAAGCAGCATGGCGGATCAAAGGTTCGACTACTCAAAAACAGCAGCGGAGAGCAGCTGGGAGCCATGAGGCGCATTGCAGCTAGAGCAGAAGATTGAAGACTCAGCAAAGGTAAGGAGTTGCAGTGTCGGCAAAGGCTTCGACGAAGACATCGAAGGAATAAGTGGGGGAGAATGTCACGAACAAACTTCTAAACAGGATGTTTGATGTAATGCTTATGTATGTCCGTGTCTTTTGGTATGTTCATGCTTTGCACAGCATGTAGAGGGACGACCGAAGGTTTAATAGTCTCATTTTAGTTGGGTTTGGTGGCCGCTTTAGGCTTGTAAATAAAGGTTGTGTCATGTGGACACTTGTGAGAGATTTTTGGTCTGTAGTGGACCATTTTGACCCTTTGTTGTGCAACTATTCAGAGCTTGTAAAGTCTGTTTGTAATTTGTATTGTCTATAAAGTGTTTTCGAAAATGTTTGCTTGTGGATCCCGAGTGAGGCGTTTTCTCTAACCCGTTTTCTCTTTTGTGGGTCCTAAGGGACCATGGGAGGCTTCGGGGAGGCTGACCTTTGCAGACGGACACGCAAGGGTGCCACACGACTTAGGCAAAACCAGCTAAGTCCGTGACAGTAGCTCAAAATTCATAATGTCTTCCACATAACCAACTTGAAAACCTACCACTCAGATCCGCAAGATACTTATTGAAGTGTTCCAATTCAACCACCCCCACCAAAACCTCCTACAAAAAGCAAGTTGAAGTCATTTTAGAAGATCGCAAGATAGCTAACCAACGGGGAAAAATAGATCAAGTACTTGGTGAAGTGGTGAAAGCTTCCCCAGACAAAAGCCAGTTGGGAGCCTGAAGACACACTGCGACACAAAGAAGCAGTCATCAAAACCTACCAGCAAGCGTCGACAAGGGCGTCGATAGTTTAAGTGGGGAGAATGTTACGGATGGTCGTCACGCACCCGCAACACCTCCGTCAACAGACCGTTCGTCGCTTATTATTTACTTGTATATATGTTTGACAACATGTTTTCTTTTGGTTTTATGTATTTTCACTTAAAAACTATGAGCAACAAGAGTTTGCACTACTGCAAAGCAATCGATCACCACAATGGGCAAAACTAACCTAAATGGCTCAGTTTTCGCATGTCATAGCTTGTTTTATGTAGCTTGCGGTGTAGTGCAAAATGTCAATCATTTCAGCACCCTAGAATCACCGGGTGACATAGGGCTGGATGGGGTTTAGAGCAGTATTGGGTGTTGTTTAGATTCATAAGTTCAGACGTAAAGCCTATGAAAACTTGCCAACGCAACCGACACCTAGTAAGCAATCATTTATGGACTTGAGACTGTCCATCCTCTCTTTTCTCTCTTGCACACTAAGTGTTTGTCGAATTTTTTATAAAGTTGCCCTCTTTACAAGATGTTGGGACTTGTACACCGCTTGTTTTCGAAATTAATCAATTTGCTCTTTTACGGGTCCTTCAAAACCTAAGCAAGGTTGCAAATAGGCTGACCCTTTACAGGCGAATAATGTAAGGATACCTTCTGACTTAGGCAATTCTAGCTAAGTTTGTAACAATTAGTCAGTGATACTTGGGCTCTTCCTTTTCTTCAAGAAATCCAATTTTGCTCAATAATTCTATCAGTTATATAAGCTTCCCATGTGTTGATGACAATCTTTGAAGAAACTCAAGAAAACAATGTTTATGTACGTGAAGATGCTCTAAAGAAATAATAGTATCTCCTTAGATAAACCTTCGCTTCATCTAGAGCATAGCCAAGCCCAGGACATTGCTTAAACTACATAATTCATTACTCTTTGATTGGATTACTGCTGATACTAAGTTATCATCTTGTTTAACAAAGAAAATTGGTATGCATTATATCCAAAGTAGATGCTTGACTTGACATGCCTCAAAATCACTGATTTCAGTAACCTCAAACCTGGCTGTTGGCATGCAATGAATGTGAACTCAATCACTCATGATAAAAACTAACCAGAAAGCATTATAGTCCATAAGAAATATGTAATACTACTGCTGCTGTTGCTACTAGTACTACACCTGGACCACAATTATCAATGAAGACACTATTCTTTATCAAAAAATCTATGTCAAAAATAGAAAAAGAAACTTGCCTCAGAAAAAACGAAAAAGAAGAAGCTCATACCTCAATCAAAGAACTAGAACTTAAAACTATCCGTTTTCTGGCTGCTACCTCCTTGCTATTGACAAATATAGAACACTTGCCTGTGTTCTTTAAGAGAAAGGATCCGTCTTTGTCCATCTTAATGATTGCCTAGAGAAGAAATAAAAAGCAATATTGATATGGGTGAACATCAAAACAGATAAGAAGCCAAACAGATATTTCAATTGCAGACTTTGGCTAATTTACAATGCAATATGCCGTAAGCGAATAAAATTGTACCACTAAAATGCATAAATATTGTAACAGTTGGTACCAGCACAATCCATTCAAAACGATGGCTGGGATCACTATCAGGCCTAGATTTCAAACCTTGACTAAGTTGGAGGCTTTATATTGCCCACAATAGTAGGTAATGATGGTAGTTTTAGTACTCAATGGTTACTCTCGTCACACTCGTACCCAATCTAGCAATATGTCAGTTAAAGTTGTAGTTGTAGCCACCAACCTATAACTTGATGGGCAGTGTAGCTCAATTATTGCTCAATTGATCCACAATCAGAACACAGTGTATCAAGTATCAAATAGCACTACCAGGCCTAGATTTTAAACCTCGACTGAGTTGGAGACTTCATATTGACCAGAACAGCAGGTATTGATGGCAGTTTTAGTACTCAACAGTTATTCTTGTCACACTCATACCCCAATCTAGCACTACATATCAGTTTAAGTTGTACTTGTAGCCACCAACACAACTTAATGGGCAGTGTAGCTCAATCATTACTTGATTGATCCACAATCAAAACACAGTGTATCAAATATCATGAGAGCAATATCAAAATCATCACAATAACATCCAGCCACAATATCCTGTCAAGGCACTATGTAATCCATTTTGGTATTAGTAAGGGCCCCACATTGACAAATTATGGGTTGTATCATAAATAACTCATGTATCAAGTACTTATTTAACATCTTGAAAAGTTCGTATGTTGTTTCGATATATGATTATATGTCCTAAATGCGTATGTTGATTCATTAGGCAAACATATGTAAAAAAACTAAGCTTAGTAAAAACTCATGTATCAAAATAAATCCCACCTTCACCACTTACCCATGAAGGAGGGATTTGTTTTCATACATGAGGACTTAAGGCCATTGCAACCATCTCTATTTTCTGATGAGAGACCATGACAGCTTGGCACAGTGCAGCTCTAGAGAATATTTTGGAAATTGTGAATTTCTAACAACCAATTTATAACTCCAGTATGAGTAACATGAATCACTTGATGAACCAAACTAAGCAAATGGCACTCACTCATGCTGGTGCCTCATGCTCTGCTGAGAATTGTGGCATGATTTTCAGAATATGACAACAAATTCTTGTTAAATAAGCATTTTATCTTTTATCCACTAACATGTGAAAAATTAACTTTACAAACATTATGAATGCATTATGTATTCTTTAAAATGCTGAGAATAATTTAACAGGAACAATTCTAGTGGAAACAATTTCTACATCATGAAACATAAGAGATATTGGTTCAAAATCTACATTTTTCTGTAGTGACACAGAGAACTTCATGTGACCACTATCACACAGCAGCGGAAGGAAAACTAGTTTCAACCACTATTTCAGGATAGAGCATTGTCGAAAAGGAAACCGCCTAAACCCTAAATTCTGCATGGCTGCTCGATGGCCAATTGTTATGAACGATAAGTACCTAAAAACATGATATCACTGTTCACAAAACAGGTTTTCTGCCTTGAACCCAAGAGAACTATACCAACAAAAGCTGGGAGATGTATGCGTAGAAAGAAGTATCTAAAGATACACTGGGGTCTCAACTGCTAAAAATAGATAGAATATAAGCATGAACGCTCAAAATTCAATGAGATCTGCAGTATTTGAAACTAAAGGACTTAAAAGAATCCAATATTTAAAATATATTAGCCAAGAAAATCAAATTCTTATAATTAGCATAAATAACTTATAGTAGGCAGGCGGTTGTTACCTGGCGTCGAGATATTTTATTAGCATGCCCTTCTTCTCTCAAGTCAATATCAACTTCTACATCATCTGTCCCTCTTCCAAGTGATACCTTCATATCAAGAAAAGCATGATATATGATGTCTTAGAAAAAAGATAATAAAGTAATAATTTCAAAAGATGTATGAAACTAATCTATAAAGCACACAACCTTATAAAAACAATGGCATAGGTCTTTCTTGAAAAAGCAGATGTAGTAACAATTAACACTAGACCACTTCTACTGTCAATGAAGACAAACAAATTAAAAGATCAAAGAATAGTCTAATTGATATCAAAAACTAAAAATAAAAAAATGTTTAAATCCAAGTATTGATTCTCAATTAATTGGATAAGTGTCACTATATAACCAACAAATTTCCTTATATGTTAACATCAATGTAGACTAAAATTAGCTAGGGTTTTACAGAAAACAAGCAGGCCGTGAAGTTGGGTCATTTATATCTCTATTACATCACAACCTGTTCCCATTATGACAATAACATTCCACATCCTCTTGTTTAAGTTTGTAAAGTTCTATTCAGTCCCAACTGATGAAATGAAAACCAGCATTCTGTATCCCTCTTCTTAGATGCACGGGCACTAAACATATCTAATGATTGTTTCTCTTTTATTACTTCTCGAAATTTTATTCACTTTACTGGGGAATTATGTTCATTAGCTGAAGAATTTTGTCATGTCCCCTTATTTCTAAGTTCTTTTCCAAATCTAGGAGAAGATATTTGCTCTATGATTGCACGAGCTTATTCCCCCAACCTCATTGACCCTCCTCCAAAATCGCAGCTCTCCTTCATCTTTCAAGGTATTCTTGTTATGGTCAGGCCAGTATCGCTCCATACCAACACAAGGCACACTGTACAGTGTACGAGCACCAAACTGGTCCAACCAGCAACTGGGTGTACCAACACAAGGCACACTGTACAGTACCAGTACCAAGCTGGTCCAACCACCAACTGATACCAGGATCAGACTCAGATTTTTAATCTTTGCTAAGTTGAACCTCCACCAGATAATTACATGGCAGCATGGTGCATCAAGTCTAATATAACAACAATTATATGTGTGGTTATGTAGAGATAAACAGCATAATTGATGTAAGTTAAATTCAATAAAATATCAAAGTAAAACTAAATGTCTATATTGTCAATCTCAATGTCTACCTCAGTTTTTTTTATGAAGTACTTCATACGGCGCCCATAAAAAACTGCAAAAGCACCATGCGATAAAATTTTTCTATTCATATAAGCCCGGGCACCTTGCTCCAACCTCATGATGGCCTTCTTACTATGAACAGGCTGATAGAGTGACACTGATCACACAAAGAAGGAAAAACAGAAAAGAATAAAGTCAACACAGCACATTCGGAGCAGTATGCATAACAAAAGCATCTAGCAACAACAGTAAAAGCGTACAATATGTGGCTGAAAAAGCAAAAAGAGTAACTTAAAAAATCCATTTAACCGTGGCATCTATGACATTAATTTAAAAACGGTTTAGATGGTAAAAAGAATCTTCTTATGAAATGACTTCTTGAATCCAGAGAGTTCTATACTTCAAGACCATACGAAATCATCATTTTTAAAAAAAATAACCTTAATGATACAGAATTGATGATTCGCAAAGTCAGTTCACCTTCCAACTGATTGTGAAGGATCAAAATAAATCCTCCCCTTATTCCCTGTATAAACTAAAACATTATAAAAGCCAATAAAAATGGCAAGTATTTCACAATAAGCAGTACTTGGCAACCAATTGAATATGTACTTGACAAAGAAACCAAAATTAATGATTGAAAAATCTGAATATGCTGAGTGACAGCAATCTAGCCAGGGATTCTTTGCAAAATTTGAAGAACACAAACCCATTGTTGTATTAACAGATGTCTAAATTAATTATTGTGTCAGTTGGGAACCTCAAAGGTTCCCCAGGACAATCATTAGATATAAAACCTCATTAGCATAGCATGGGAGCAAAATACCACCTCCTCACACCGATACACCACTTACACATGTGAATGGCTACAAAACTTGGAACTAACTTTCAACTCTAAGTGCCGCTTCTTTCTGTTGTACAAGCAAATTAGGAATGAAAATAAAGAGGTTAAAACCAGGATAATGCATGAGAATAAGTCTTGGTAATTACATATCACCAAGTAATAAATACCATAGATTTATGTGCCAATTCATGATGACATGGTTGCAGCAAGAAAATCCATGTATGCTGGTAAGTGAATCATGCATTGGCCCAGCGCACAGCCAGGCTTCGCCAGTATGAACCCCATGCCAATCCATGCTAGTTGACAAGCATCATGCTGATAAGTCAGGTGCATAATGCCCCATGTCACTAAATCAAAACCTGGCCTAACGGGACCAAACATTCCAAGTACTGCATCCAGTGTGGCAGTTATGTGTTGGTTAGTAAAGAGAATAACTGAATAAGTGCAGTCTAATCATATTACTTATGTAACACCCCGATTAGTCCCACATCAGAAGTGGGCAAGCCTAAGATTGATTGGCTTATAAAGATTTGATGAGTATACTACTATTAACTTCAGCTTAAGCATTTTGGCCAGTGATTTAGACCAAACGAAGTTGATAGACCAATTAACTATCAAGCTTGGATCGTGACATTTAGTATCAGAACCGACCTAGTATTTGAGCATGGTAAGGGGGCTCAAGTAGGAAAGGGTAACCCGTAAATGGAGTTAGAGAACTCATCACAGCATGGAGGGACCACTGAGCTATATCTCACATGAACCATGCTAGAGTTTGATCTGAGCTTGCTGGGCCTTGACGAGGACGTCAATCACTTAAGTGGGAGCAATTATAATACCTTAATTAGTCCCACATCGAAATTGGGTAAGGTTAAATTGACTTATAAGGGTCTAATGAGTGCACTACTATTAACTTCGACTTAAACATTTTGGTCAGTGGTTTAGGCCAAACGAGATCGATAGGCCAGTTACCTATCAGGCCCCGGTTGTGACAACTTGTGTCTGATTGAATAATACAAACTACAGAATGTATTCAGCAACCAAATTTGTATAGAAGCATTGAAGTTTCATAAAAACAGACACATACTGCAAATAAATGTACGTCACATGTAACAAACCATGGAAGGCAATATCTTTTATATACTAAACATTGTAGCCAATATCTGCAAGATTACCTTCCTTCGTGAACAGGCAAGACTCTTGATCATGTGGACCCAGGTCCATATCAAGTATCTGCAAAAAAATAATACATAGAATAGCCATATTTTACCTCTAGGTCAGAATTAAAATTTTTGAAGTAGGTAATGATAAAAAAAATCAAACCAAAATTTCAACTAATCAAAATGAGTGAATTTACCAGCGCTTCAACGTCAGAGAAGTTTGGTACATCATCTTCACTGTCAGAAATTTGAAGCTCCTGATCTGAAGTTGAGATACCTGGAAGGGGTTGTGAAAGATCCAAGTTGGACAAAACAAGATCTGAATTGAATGAAACACATTTTATCTATTGTACCTTGCATATCAAGTTCGCTTTTACAACCATCAGCAGTATTTGAGGTGTAAAGTTTAGCATGATCGGATAAAGGTGCTGCTGTACCCAAAGATGGATTGACAGAGTTATCAAATTTGTACTGCTTTTCCGAATCAGTTACAATTTCTTCCTTCATTAGAGCACCTGCCACAGAGTGCAATGCAATGGATTGTAACATGCATGACTTTTTATCTTTAGCAGCAAGGCTTGCATCTCTAGAGACTCCAACCCTTTCAAAGGAATTAGCTTCTAGCCTACAATCATCAGTTGAGTTCAACAATCCTCCTTTGGGTAATAATGCAGAAGGCACTTTTGTGAACGAAGAAACTAGAGGTTGTGCAATTGGCATATGTTCCTCCTTTACTTTGGTTACATGTAGTAAAGGGCACTTTCCATCAGTAGATGGTAGCTTAATAGGGGCAGGAAACTGCGGCAGCAGTTGTGTAGGTAAAAGAACATCATCATTGCATGGAATTTCAGGATCCTCGGTATTCAATGTGCAAATTAGAAGCCCTTCGAGAGGTTTAACAGTATGAGACACTGCTGAAGATGCAGTTGGCACATTTTCTCTAACACACACAGTTAAATCATTGTCACAGAAAGAACCAATCTGATCACAGTTTTTGTTGGTTCCTTCTGATTGATCCCCCTCAAATATCACAGCACTAGTATCTACATTCTCCATCTCTTTTATGTCACAATTAGCTTGATCATCTTCATGTGTATCGCTAGGAGAACTCAATAAAATGGAGCTTAGACCATTTAAGCTGGATTTGTCTCCAATATCTTTCTCATCCATATCCATGAAGATGATATCCTCATCATCAGCAAACTCCAAGAAAGCACCAGAGAAGTCCATCAGGTCAGTTTCTGATATCATTGTTGGGCTATTTAATCCAACATTAGATATTCCTTCACCTATATTGGCTTCTGATGACATGTTATGGCATCCTGCTTTGTTGATATGATCATCAATGGCGAGAACCTTTTTATCTTCAAGATGCATATTCATCAGCATACTTTGTGAGGATATGTCTGCCGTTCCTGAAAGAGGATAAGTTGTGGTAGATGAACACCCAAGCTGATGGACTATATCCCCACATTTGGGAACATGTAAACTTGTGTTATTGATTTTTTGAACACCATCGTAATTCTCATTTTCTGAAGCAGGACTAGATAGGGGTTTCACTTCTATGACTTTGTCGCCACATGAATCATTAATAGGCAATGGCTGAATTGGCTTATTTTCATTAATATCTTCAGATGCATCCAGAGAAGGAAGATTCTCCTCAAGAAAATGAGAAGGATCCTTCTGTACATCTCTAAGGAACTGGGGAGGAGGACTTTTCTGTATGTAGTCATTTTCAAAGGACTGCTCTGCAGCATTTAACTGTTCTTTGTCAACTAACTCAAGGGAAATATTTTCTTTAAAGTCATATAGATATTCTTTGTCTACTATTCCATCTGGGCATTCATCTTCAACAGATCCAACATACTCAGTATGAAATGCATGGTGACAATTGTTACCACTGGCAGTAGCAGAACCAAATTTAAGCATTTCAGGGAAGATATGTTCATTGTCATAGCCAGTTTCTTGATATCCGTAACAACTTAAGATTCGTTCTCCTGGACAAATGTTATCAGCTTGTTGCTGATCCTGAAGGTTTAACCGGTCTCCACCGCCATAAATGCTGTCACTAGCAACATGTGGATAGTGTGCAAGGAAACCAGGATTGCCAGAATTACAAGGCTCACTTCTGATACGTTTTCGCCTGGCATGGTAATGGCTTCTTATGCTATCTCCTTTCCGTTTACCAGACACAGAATACTTTCCTTTCAAGTTGCAATTTCGGTTACCTTTGGAAGGATTGGACATAGAAACTTCAATTTCAAATTCAATCATGCGAGCAGATGCCTCTGCTGAGGTATCAGAATCATAGAGGAGAGAATACCAACGGTCCTGCAGTTCACGAAGAGTGAACCTTCGGGAAAAGCATACTGCACCTTTAGCCAATGACTCCAAGGAAGCACCAGCCTGCAATAAAGATCACCATAAAGAAAAACAAACTTCTTTCCTAGGGATGTTACTGGAACTTAACCAAGTACAAAAAGTAAGCAAATTAGACATAACAAGCACTATAACAGATGTGAAATGCTGCAGGACATATTAATCACTTCAAACTTCCAGTTTGAAGGATGGAGATTTATGCGAAAGTCAAATTAGGTAATCAAAAACTTAATCTACATATCCATGAAGTTTGAAGGATGGAAATTTATGCCAAAGTCAAATTAGGTAATCAAAAACTTAATCTACATATCCATGACAACCTAGATGCCACAAATTATTAACTTAAAAATCTGGAGTTACAAAATACGGGACCAAGTTTCAAGTTACAGCATGCAGAGGCAAGGATGCATACTTTGACTCTCCCTAGACCCCATTTTGTCGGTAGTCTTGCTTCCCTTTTAAGATAAAAATGAGAAAGATTCACATTCTTTGCACTTTAAGCCTACTAATGAAAGTAACATGTTACAAAAGAAGACTTTCATGTTTCTAGAGGAGAAAAGTTGTTTGATAGTATGATCCCAAATAAACTGAAATGGATTGTTTGCAAATCTGCTATAGATTAACCATTTCTTTATGATGTGATGATTTAATAAAATAATAGAATAAAGTAAAACAAATATATACCATTGCCAAAAGTTAATCCAACCAAAATTAAACTTCTGACTTCCAGGAAGCATCTTTCTGTAAAGCACTTCTTCAACATAAATTAGACAACTGTTGCATGTACCAAATAGGGCCGCAAACCAAGCCAAGCAAACTAAAATGTTGGTCAAACTTGACTATACTAGGAAGGCTATTTATTGGCCTGGGAAGCACATGTACAAATGCCTAACCAATGTGGTTTTATAAATAACTCAACATTTTGAACAACATTCACATAGGTAGTCATATTATTTGTCTTATCATAATTCATATCTATTTGTTTCTCATGCTCATGAAACCTTTTAGGACTAAACATTCACTCTCAACACCTCTGGCTCAACAAATTTTCCAATCAATCACTGGGTGTTGACTTACAATGTTTACTGGTTGAAAATTTTAGAATGGGCCCCACAATAATAGCAGTTAGTGTTGAACCCTATCCTTTAGTTCAAATGAGGTGGTCAATGTTGCATCCTATCACTCCAGTTAGAATCCATCCACCCTAAATAAAAAATATCTAGATTGGCAATAATATATGTAGTAAGAGCCAGTGAATGTTGTACCGCCCGAAACGGTATCGTACGGGTGGTACATACTGCATCAGGCGTGGACCAATACATGGACCACCCCGGTTTTGGGCAGTCCGTTTATTAAGGCAGTCCGATTAAAATAATAAAAAAATAAAAAAGTGATGAGCCCCAATCCATTTACACGTTCAAAAAGGAAAGAAAAAAAAAACAAGTTCGCGAGCCCTCTTCTCGCATACGATGCTGCAGCGGTGCTACCTCTTCTCGCCATTGCCACTTCACCACTGTGATGCTACCACTATCACTTCGATGCTCTCACTGCTTTCCAGGTACACTACCGCTGCACTCCTCTTCTTTCTTCTTCTTCCTATGTTCAATCATCACCCCTTTCTCTTCACCCTCTTTTTCTTTCTCATCAAAACATCGATACCCATCGATGTACCATGTGTTGGTACATTGGTATAGAACAATACATCTCATTCCGACAGATTGCCGAAACGGGTCCAGTACTCGAAAAGGCAACCCTTGGTAAGAGCTATGGACTACTTCAAGAACTTGTTTTGGGTTGTAGGGTATAACACAGATGCCATATTATGTTAGAATAGAACAACGAATTATGACGTTAATATGTAGATGCACTATATCACTGTGACGCTAGTAAGGTTTAATCCGGAAACTAACATGCACTAGTCTGTTAATCTCTTTGCAGTTATATCCTACCATCATATCTCTTCAAAACTCATCAAACAAGTTATGTGAGTTCATCATTAAGACAACGAAACCACAAACATGTTACACTCAATACTATTCTGGTATAAGTTCTTAATAATGAAAAAGGTGCTTATGCACGTGAGCAAATATTTAATTTAAATGTTCCCCTCAAAGATACGGTCAAGAAGGCGGACTGTGCAGGAGGATCAAGCACAACTGCAGAAAGGAAGGGATGCACAATAAGGAATGGAACAGAAAATTCCGCATGTAAACAGCATGTTACTTCCATCCTAACCTTTTTCCAACTATACCATGGACACCACCCCAGGGGTTAAATTTAGGCCTTTCAACAGGTTATCAATGCATAGAATAGCAAATAAATCACAAAAAAAATCATCGTTTTATCTTTTAAGCGTACTACACGACTCTACTCCGATCTTTGTCTTCTTCTACCGCGAATTGCCGCCGAATCTCTCGATTTGGGGCGGAATTCGATGCTTTTCAAGCAAACAACGATAGGGCATCCAAATTCACAAGAAAGGAGAAGAAGCGGATGAAGTTGTACTTACTTCGACGGCGTTCTTGAGCAGGAAGTCGTCCTCCGGAATCCACTTCGTCAGCGTCGCGAGAGCTCCCATCCTTGGCGGTCTCCAACGAGGAAGGGAGGGCCTCGGAGCGTAGTTTAGGGTTCAAGGTCTTCAGTCTCGAGTGAGCGGCAGTCGGGACGCTCGTTCTCCCCACTAGTGGATTCGGAGTCCGAGTTCTGGGCCGGACCCTAAACAATGCTCGTAAGTCTTAAAACGATAGCGGGGCCCACAATTATGGACCAATGGGAAGATTTCTTATCTATTTCGTGGCTCGGCCAACACATGTGAGCCGAACGTTGGTGGGAGATTAAGTCAGATTAGAAACAACATCGAGTGGGATTTAGTTTGAAATGCCTTTAATTAGGTTTTGGTTTCACTGAAACAGACACGTAGGAACTCAAATCGGATTCAGAAAGGATATGTTTTATGGGTACCCATCCATTATTAAAGAATAATAATAGGCCACTATTTTTTTTTAATTCGATTTGTGTAGTATTAAAGTATGAAGGTAAGTATTTGGATTATTTTTATTGATTCATTCCATTGGATTGTTATGTTTAGTAAGTTATTGTATAAACGATAGATCTCAAATCCGACTGTGAAGATCTTATATATTATTTAATGTAATAAAAAATTATTATTATTATGATTAGTATATTATTATATAAATGATATATCTTATATATTATTTAATATAATAAAAAAATTCTATGACCATCATTAATATTATGATCCCTATACTTAAAAAAAAATACATTCACATTACTATAATCACTAAAGTGACGCCATCCATTTTCAAAGGTTTTATCAACAAAAACATAAAAATAAAAGATAAAAAAGATAAGTTTAATGTTTTAGTTAGTGGTGACGGATGGCAACGTCGGTAGGGGCTATGGGTGGCTATTGTGGATGAGAAAAGCGATGACGAGAGATGATGTCAAGTAGCTCTTTCTTCGTTTAACAACTATATCGACATTGATGCAGAGCGACGAAAGGGTCGCTTAGCAATTATGTCGATGATTGGAACGATGATATACTCAGTATCGAATTATGGGGACCCATATTTTTCTACCGCCACTAGATACATTCATCGAGAGCTCGACAACCGCTTACTTGTCAGCCTTCTATAGCTTTCCTTCCCCGTTAACAACAACCACGGTGAATAAAACTCCTCTTTCGATGAGCTTCCCATCTCCCACTTTTCATGCCCATGTCAAAAACTGATACGATAATGGAGGGAATGATAGGAGCTTTGATAACCCTAATTTCGAGTTGAGCAATTCACCCAACGGGCCAATGCTGAGATGATCGCCACCATTTGTGTCAACGATAATGCAGTTGCCGAACGATGAAAGTGCAGTCAATGCAAATGTTGAGTAGCCTTTTCGCTGCTTGGCAATTGTGTCGATGCCAACGCATATGCAAAGCGATGAAAGAGCTACTCAGTAATTGTGTCGATATTGATGCGGATGCAGAGCGATCCTCACCTCTCGATGTCGCTCTCCTCATCCACAACAACCACTCGCAACCCTTAGTGGTATCGTCATTCGTCACCACCAATTGAAATATTAAAATTATCTTTTTATCCTTTATTTTTATATTTTCGTTGATAAAACTCAGAATAAATTAATTTAAATATTTCACTTCGTAATTATAAGGATGTCAATATAAATTTTAAAGTATAAAATTAGGATACTAATAACTATATAAGATTAACTATATAGGATAATATGTAATTAATCCATATTAGAAAGGACGGAATACTTGCACATGTAGTAAGAGATTTTTTACGTAGAAATGAGGTTTTATTGACTGTCAGCCCCATCCAGAGATACAAGTCAGCAGATTCATAAATTTTGTTTTTGGAGACTATAACTGTACAAAATTCAATCCATATCTTGGAACATAATTGTATAGATCATACAGCCATACTAACAAAAAATAACAAGATTAATTTGACTAAATTGCCAGCCATAGCATTAAATAGTGAAGTTGCTGAAAGCTTGTTCTTTTCGTTGTGAGGTCACCATAAAAGCATACGAATCGGGAAAAAAATAAAAATAAACAGAACAGAGACAAGAAAACCCCAAGATTTACATATCTATGAGCAGGGGCTAGAAGTTCCACAACTGTACCAATTGCTAGTTGATACAAGAGATAATTGACAACCTATTTTCAAGTTGAACAACAAAAACATGCAATTCCAGATTGTTTAGTTTTTAGTACAAATCATGACATTTAGAAGTAAAGCAATCCGTCATTATAAGTTCCACCGTCCACGTGGCATGAAAATGGCTAAAATATATTGCTACTATAGAAACAGTTGCTCAAAGGATAATTCCAATATGGTTAGTTTGAGAGAAACCCATATGAAAGCTATATTGACTACATTACATGCTTCGACTATAATAAAAAAGTAAGAGCATTTGCATTCCATAAAATAACTCTGTAGCATGTAAAATTGACATCTTCTTCGGTTACTTGATTTGTCTGCTGATCTTACAAGTTCTACCTTTTCTTCATTGAATCTTCAATCAGTCCAACACAAAAATGGTAAAGCCACAACTGACAGACCCATCTTGACTCAGGATGGCCAAGACAACCTCCTTTGACCAAAATATCATGTGTCACCTCCACTGGATGCCCTCTGCATTTTGCTACCTCCAACTGTCGACCATCGAATCATCCAAGCTTGTCATGCCTTCCCTCCAATGGGGAGGCGTAACATAACTGGAATCCCCTCATGAAGAGTCACTAGGTGTTGTCGGCAAGGAAGAGTTACTGACACGAAACTGTTGGAGGGTTGCAAATGAATCCCTCATAGCAGACATGGCTTCGAAGAAGCGGGTACATGATGCTAGGACAGCAGGAATAGGATGCAGCATTTCCTTCAAAAACAGTGACAAAATCTCAACCACCATAACAATGGGCCAAAAAAACGGAGGACAATTTTCAAAAAGCAGAATGTGGTTAATACAACATGGCACCCAGCATAAGTAAAAACCTAAATGTATGATCAACCTAATAATTAATTTAAATTTCACATAAGATTCCTTGTATCATCCAAAACTTGATGAAATATAGAAGTCTCTTTAAGATAATTTGGTCAAGATATGCACCTCTAAATTTGTCCAAAACAATGACATCCGGGTGAAACATCCATGCCACCCAGTCTAACATGGCATTGTGCCTTTGGATTGCTTTGCTGCTTGATTTTGCTCATACCATATGATAAGTATTGATCCAACCAGGGACTGGTATTCAAACACCTGATTTGGGACTAACACAACAAACAGGGCCCAAACCAATCAAAGCTGCCTGTTTCAACCAATTTAGATTGAAGTACAAGGTTTAAGTTGTCATTTCCCAGCTACATCTCTTGGCTCTTCTGATATGTTCACTTCCATTGGTCCAAACAGAAAATTGGATCTGACATAATTAGACATCAAGAGACTCCTTACAAGAAATTAAAATGAATAATTCAATTTAAGGGCAGGCATATAAATTAGATCCAATCATGTATGCTGCAGAATTTCTGGAAATTGCATAAATATAAATGTGTGAACAAAAATTAATATATGCTGAGATACACCATGCATTCAGTAAGTAAGCCGATGTTTAAGTGATATGAAAAACCTTTCCATATAATTGAACACAAAATAACATAAAATTAATTCTGAATGCCAATCACTGTAGTGTACACAAAATAACACATTTAACATACCCCCCAAACTCTAGGTGATTCTTTGAAATTCTGGCACCACTGGAAATCAGCAACTGCTGCTGTCAGAGCTCCATAATCACTAGCAGCCTTCAACAATAATTCTGAGAATTGTTTCTGGACTATATGCAAGGATTAGGAACTTTTAATGATTTAAGATGGCTACAAATTAATCTTTCATAAAAAAGATCCCTACTTTAGCATTTTAGGTTGTGGATTTTAGAACAATGATGCCATCAAAACAAGTGGTCTTATTGTGGCACACAAAATAATGCATTAGGTATATTTGATCTCAATGAAGTCAGATCCGTGATATCAGCTTGTTAAAAAGAAAAGAGATGACAGGCAGCAAGCACATGCCAACATGTTAACCTGGTACATTCACATACATGCTTTTCTGTGTCATGCTGATCATGGTCGAAGAAAAATTTTCATGCATGGAGCATAAGTGTATATTAGTATATCAAAGTGAAGAAAGAAAAAGGAAAAAGATATCAGGGCATGTCAACAATAACCTCACAAAGATACCTCACAGAAGTATTAGATGCCCCAAACCACTTGAACTAAATGGCCGACTTGGGTGGTGCACACATCTAATCATAATGTTCATGTGCTTATAAGTATTATTCATGATACTGTTTGTTAATGTCAAAATAAAACTAAGTCCAATAGCACAACTACTCAAAAATTTAACCATGATGTAGACATAGTAGACCTAGTTACTTTCTCAATAATTGCTATATGTGTAGAATTTTTATTAGGCACAAGAGAATGAGTTCACCATGAAGTCAAAATGTATAATGTCAGAAGCAAACATAATTAGGGCCTATGTGCACGTACAACACTGTCCAAAATGACAACTTGATTGTAAATATTCCTGTATAGTAAGATTTTCAGCTGATATTCAGCTTCCACAGGAATGCAGTCTAAAGAATATGGTTGCTGCAATCTAGCAATGATCCAATCCTGAGCAAATAAAGTGCTATCATCAAATGAGGTACAGTCTGAATACATATGTCAAACATATATTAAAAACATGCTCATCAGATGATTAGGATAAACATGATAGGGTGGTGGCCATCAGCTTAAGCAAGTCAAGACAAATCCTCAAATTTCCCAACCATGGTAATCTCTCAAGTGGTAAGAGCAAATGGAAAAATAGGGACAACAGGCTCTGCAAAATTTATCTTGTACTTATCCTTCTTTTTAAAATAAAGACTGACATAAAACATTGCGACCGAACTGTACATAAAAATTGGGTGTACATCTTTCACTGAGACTGAGATTTTACAATACATCTACAGTCAACAAACTCAAACATCAGGAAAGGATGGTCACCTTCCAGAAGTTTGCAGCTGGTGATAAAAAATTCCAACAATAAGCAGACAGAAACCAGAAACTGTAAGAAAAAACACAGGCAAAGACCTCACGTAAAATAAAGGTGAAAATAACAAAAATCAAGTGCAGAAAAGATATGCAGCTCTGTTGGGATCTATTTGAAAAGATGAAACATCTGCACATGTGATTCTATGTAGCAAGGTTCGCAATACCGTATCGTACCGGTATTTTGACCTGGGCTCGGTACCGGTACGGTACGATACGGTATACCGAGCGGTACACCCAGGTGTGCGGAGTACTGTAGCACTGCTACAGTACTCCCGTGCGGATGGTGTACGGCCGACCCTGCTATGTAGTAATTAGAATCAAGAAATAAGTTTAAGTTTATAATTTTTTTCCAGCGTCATACCTTGTTCTGAATGACATCTTTCAAAACAGCAGTAATTCTGGCCAAAGACTTGCATTTCTTTTCCATTTCACTAACATGGGTTAGATGAGCAACATTCTTATCGTCCAGAAGAAATAAAAGTATAAAAAAGAATAACTTGATGAATAATTGTGAATGGACTCAAAATATAAGCAATACACGAAGACAAATTAATCATGTCACATGTTTATCATATAAAGGAAGAAAATATGTATTGATAAATTTCTTTGTTTCTGGTAAATATTTATTATAATGTTCACTCAAATATTAACTTCCAAACTTCCAATAACAATCATTACAGGGATTTAAATGGGACCAGAAATACTATAGGAGAGGCTAAAGTCAGAGACATGGCATGTGTAGGTAACACCATGGAAATAGCACATTATGGCTGAGTATACCTTAACATAATGGACCTATGTCAGCATTGGCCCAGATGTGCATGCCAATTCATGGAAAATTTAATGAACGAATTAAATATGAAGTCGAAAACAGACGAGCTGATGGAATCAAGAAAAATTCAGGGCAAAGAGATGATTTACAACCTGGACGGGAGGGATAGGGACGCCAAGATCGGAGGCGATGGCGAGGGCTTCGGCCATGCCGCCGAGCCGCCTGGGGAGCTTCTTCCCCGCGCCTCCCGTGTCGCTCGACACCGACATTTCCGCCTGGCCCAGATTCCGATCCCCGGAGATCAAAGGGAAGGGGAGCCGTGAAGCAATACGAGATTTGGGAGATTGGCTAGCACAAGCGAAACATTTGAATTGGTTCGGACAACTAGATCACGTCTGTAAACGGATCGGATCCTATTTCAGTCCATGCGCTATCCAATTCCTAGTCAGATCGGATCCTATATTGATCCGTGATCTGATCCACATCATATCATCACGTCTCCGCCCCGGTCCAGTCAATTCCAGCGGTCCGGTTGGAAGATTCGACCAAGAACCGGTTCGATTCATTCATTCTCTCTCTCTCTCTCACACACACACACAGATATATATATATATATATATATATATAGTGTTTCTAAATAATTATTAAATTAAGAGGTGCATCCAAATTGAAGAAACTATCAAAAATGCTAAATGTAATATTTATCTACCAAGTTAATGGACTGGCATTTGATCCAGATATTTACATATTACCTATATGCATATTTTTAAAATATTCAAATTCTCTATACACATCACTTCCATAAGTATTGGATAAACTTAAAATAACCATTATTAATCATGATTGTCATAAGTTCAAAATAATTTTGAAATGTTTCAATACTAATCATGTTTTATTTATGAATTTAGAACAAATTTTAATTTTTTTAAGTATTTATGATAATTGTTATAAGTTTCCCCTGTTATTTGATATTTTATTATTCAAAGTTCAATTTTGAGGAAAGCATTCTATATCAAATTATTATTTTATGAGATCATATGATATTTTTTAACAATATTAATGTAAATTATGGTTTTTGAGCTAGATTTTTTAAGTAAAATATTTAGGTATATTTGATCAATTATTCAATGAGATAAAGAGTTTAATAAAAATATTTTTTATTAAATAAAAATAAAATAATTAAAATAATAATGATGTCAAGAGTCATGTGATTATCGGATACTCTCAAGATAAAAAATTATAAGATAATTGATAGAAAAATATAAAATTTATAAATATGAGTGTTAGATAATTAAAAAATAACATATACAAAAAAATTTATGTTGTTGATGAAACTATTAGAAAACATAAAAAATATAAATATTTTTATTCATGAATAATTATGTACAATGATCATAATCGTTTAAAATAATTTGGACGTGTGTTCAAGAGACTTCCGGATGCAAAATGAATTATATTTAATGGTGTAAGAAAAGATAGAAAAAAAAAACTTTATTAAAAATTATAAATAATAATTTAAATATTTTTAACTTAACTATATATATATATCAATTGTTGCAAGAGACAACGTCTCAACTTATGATTTCTAAGAAAAATATATATTCAGAGTAATAAATGCTAATTACAAATTTTGTAGGAATATACATGTAAAATACTTGTCCGATGACAAAACTTTCATACACTATTATTCTATTATTGGTGTTATTAGATTTTTCTATTATTGCAACATCATGAAAAATTGTGTTCTTTCTTCGGTGTAGCCAATGTCAAGATGTTTCTTCTCTTGTATTACTTTAAGCATCTTTTTGGTCTTGGTTTATGTTCTAATTCATGATCGCCTCACCAAGAAAACCTTCACAATATCCCCATGCCATGGGCTTTGGAACAAGAATGCTGTCTCAGTACTTTGATGGTCACATGAACAAGAAACCATTACCAAAGAATCTGAGACGATTGCCAATGGAAGCACTTGAGATAGCATATTCATTCACGAAAAGAAATAACAATCGAGACTCACCTTCCAGAGAAGGATTAGCACCAACAAAGAAAATAAGTATCCTCTTCTCCTCTGCGAATTGACTCCCAACTCCATTTTGAATCTGTTTACGACGACAATCAGTGAGTAGAGGCCATACAAATTCACAAGCTTTCCCTTCACACTTGCATCCCTCGACAAAAATTCTATCAGCCATACTATGTGTGACTGAACCAATCTTGTCTGTTTGGTACTCCCGAATCCTGAAAATGCTGATCAAGTTAATGGATGCAGACGCTCCTTTATGTAGTTGAGAAGGGTGAAGGAACCCATGGAAGCAATCCTCTGAGGAATCCTTGGTGATTTGACATAGGAGAGCTTATTCCAACTCATTGCACTGTCTGCCTCAAGAACTCTGGCTCATTGTATCGAGGAGGAACCTGATGAATCACATACTCAAACTCAACTGTGAACCAGGCAAAGCTGACGCTTTTATTGAAGGGACAGTTAGGAAGGCGAAGCTCCTAATGGCAGCATCCATTGTCTCTATCTCCCTCTGAATCAGCATCACTCGGGAGGATCGACGATCTTACTGCGGATTCTTTTGAGCTCCTGTACCAGCTCCCTGGCGTCTGGCCGGTCATCCTTGTCCCCTGCCACGCACCTGAATGCCAACTCCACCACCGCCTCTACCATCGCCATTACCTCTTTACCCTCATGCAGCAGGACGGGATCTACGACCTGGTGCAGCGCCCCTACATGGATCTTCGACACCACCATGTCAACCAGCGCCATCTCGCTCCTGTCCCTGCTCACATCCACGGCCTTCATCCCTGTCACGAGCTCCAGCAGCACCACTCCGAAGCTATACACATCGCTCTTCTCGGTGAGACGGAACGACCGGTGGTACTCCGGGTCGAGGTACCCGGGCGTGCCCTGTGGCCCCGTGCAGCAGACGTACTCGGACGAGGAGCCCAGGGACGACGAAGGGTCCGGCAGCGTGAGCAGCCTGGAGAGGCCGAAGTCGCCGACTTTGACCCTCATGTCCCTCTCGACGAAGATGTTCGACGAGGTGATGTCGCGGTGGACGACGGGCGGCTTGAGGCCGAAATGGAGGTACTCGAGGGCAGCGGCGGTCTGGATGGCGATGTTGAGGCGGACGGCCCAGGGGAGGACTTGGGGCTTGCTGTAGGAGCTGCGGGAGCCGTGCAGGTGGTCGGCGAGGGTGCCGTTGGGGACGTAGTCGTAGACGAGGAGGAGGCCGCGGGGGTCGCAGCAGTAGCCGTGGAGGCGGACGAGGTTGGGGTGGCGGAGGGATGAAAGGATGAGGATCTCGTTGCAGAAGGACTTCGTCGCCGCCGCGGCTGGGTGGTGGCGATGGAGACGCTTCACTGCGGCGACGCGACCATCATCGAGGTGGGCGAGGTAAACGGATCCGAACCCGCCATCGCCGATCTTGCGGCGCGGGTCGAACCCGCCGGTGGAGGCGCGGAGCTGTTCGTATGTGTAGATCGGGGGATGGAGGTGGTGCCGGAGAAGGAAAGCGGTCATGGAGTCGGAGCCAGGGTCGCTCCCGCGCCGGCGGCGACGAAGGGAGACGACAGCAGCCCAAAGGGAGAGGAAGACCAGAAGGACGCAGGCGGTGGCGAAGAGGGTTGTGGTGAGGAGGAGGAGGCGGCGGGAGGCGGCCGAGTCGTTACGGAGGAGATGATCGGAGGAGGGAAAGCACAGGAAGGGTTTGCCAGATGCCGAGTCGTTGAAGCCGCAGGCGCCCCCGGACGTGCGGTTGCAGAAGGAGCATTTGGCAAAGTAGGGGTCGGTGGAGGAGTCCCACTCGACGTGGAAGCCGCGGCGGAGGAAGGCCGTGATGGCGGCGGCGACGTCTTCGTCCCGTTGGCAGGCTGCGGCAGGGAAGGGGGAGAGGGAGGAAGCCGTGCGGCCATCGGCGCAAGAGTGAAAAAGGAGGTTGGGCTCGGAGAGGAGACGGTTCTGCCAGGAGGTGCGACGGCAGGCTGCGCCGGCGGCAGACGTTGGGGGGCGGCAGGGGCGCAGAGCGGCGAGGTGGGGGCAGACATCGGGGGAGGGGCGGAAGGGGGAGCCGGAGAGGTCTATGGCGGCGTGGGGAAGGGAGGGGCAGGCGGTGACGGAGGAGTTGGAGGGATGGAGGAGGGGGGAAACGAGGAGGGATGAGGGGCGGGAGATGCCGAGGAGGACGAAGGTGGTGGATTTGATGGAGAGGGTGGAGTGGGGGGTGGAGCAGTTGACTCGGAAGGAGGGGTGGCCGCAGCCCGGTGTGGAGCCGAAGGGGAAAGAGTACGGCGGCGACCCGAACGGGGGACAAGGCTCCCCTCCACTCGAGGAGGGAGGAGGAGGGGAGCAGGCCGGGCGAGGCCGTCCATCAGCAGCCTCGGCAGCAGCCGCGAAGGAGAAGATGGCGACGATGAGGCACAGGAGAAGAGGAGGAGGAGGAGGAAGGGGCGGCGGCGGCGGCATGACGGGATCTCACGCGGAGGAGAGAGAGAGAGAGAGAGAGAGGAGG